AGGCGGGCGGGGAAGGAAGAGGAAGGACGAGGGGCTGACCTGCAGGGGGTGGTCCCCATGAAGCAGGCGGGTCCTGAGGAGACACGACCACGACGTATTCCACAGTTCTCGGCCTCCGAAGGCCCTTCCCAAGCCCAAGACCTCCACAATATGACTCAAGATGAACATCTGGACCCAGGGGAAGGCCCCAGGGCCCAAGACCCGTTTCCCTCAGGACTCGTGTCCTTCATGCGAAGGGGGGAAGACTTTACCCGTGGCGGCTTGGATGATTCGCGTTGACGTCAAAGAAGTCGATGGTCTTGGTCTTGCCAGGCCTCTGCGAGGTGGGCGCCAGCGTCTGCGGGGCGAGGGCATCAAGGCGGTAAAACATGAGAGGAGGCCGAATCCCGATTCCGCTCGCAGCAGGAGCCCTTTCACGACGGCGACGGACGATGGCAATGGCGTAATCCGCAGATCGAGAGTGCACACTGAAGCGAACACTGGGAAGCAGTGGACGACTCCACGGACGGCATCGCCTGTCGGTGAGGGAGTGCCTTTCCTGCGTGGCCAGTGGGTCAGCACCAGCGCAGGAGGACCCCGCACCGAGTGGAAAGGGGGAGCGAGAGGTGGAAGGGGAGGGGACGGGGGAGGGAGAGGCGGAGGGGGCGAGGGAACCTCCATCGCAAGGCCAGGAGCAAGACGTCGTGGGGGGCGCTCAGCCATAAGCATGAGAAGCTGGACCTCCGCACGGCGCCCCAGGCGCTGCGCCCCAGGCCTTGCCGTTCTGCGCACGGCCTGCGCCATCGACCGGACGCGCAGAGCCTCGAGCCTCGGGCAGCGTCGAGCAGCTTGCGGACGCAAGATTTAGGTGCCCAACGCCTGGCGCACACACTTTTTTGATCGGCGCGTCGAGAGCGCACCTCTTCTGGTCGAAGCTAAGCGGGCCGCGCGAAGCTTGAATTAGGCAGAGAGAAGGAGGGAGGAAACTGCGGAGCCTCAGAGCGAGGCCGAGAGGAGACATAGCCTCGGGTACAGGCGGTGCCGAAGCCGAAGTTCTTGCAAAGGGACGCCTTCGGCAGGAGCCCACGCCTGGCGCACACACACCATGATGTCCAGCTCCCAGGGGGCGTCACTCGTGTCAGCTCACAGCCTAGATGGCAGCGCCTGCTGGGCGCACGCCCGACACAACACGTGCCCAGTGAGGCCCACGGCGCGGCGGTGCTCAGGACACAAAAGGCATGGTGCATGCTCACCCGGACCAAAAGGCCTTACACTGGCACCAGGAGTCTTCAAGGGACCTCTCGCTGAATACGATCGCCTACCCTGGTTCAGTCCCCGCGGGTCGCGAGGCGTGTGGCTTGGACGTTTGTCTGCTCATCGTGTGGCTAATCGCATGCGTGATTGTATCGAACATGTGTGACGTGCCACTTCGAATCCGCCGGTCCCCTTGCGGAGCCACCAGGCTGCGAAGGTGAAGATTGCAGCTCAGTTGCAATCCCACCAGCCCTCTGGGCGTCGGTGGTTTAGAGCGTTTCCTCTTCCACCCCTCCTTCTTCCCCTTCGGGGAGGGGTTTACCCCTCCCCCTACCCCCTCCCCACTGACCTGGACAGGGGGGGCCGCGGGTAGTTAGAGCGTCCAAGATCGACTCCTGGGAAGGCTAAAATTCGACACCCCTCACGAGGATCGTGGCTCCTGAGGGGGGGGCTGTAATTAGGGAACCCCCCTTCGTTGATCGATCTCCTCCAAGATTGTTCCAAAAGACGTCTTGGACCCCCTCTTGGGCTCTGCGCGCGGGCGGGCGGAGCGCCGCCCGCCCGCCCGCAAGGCCCAAGAGCCCACCAAAACGTTCGAAGACACTTCCAATACGCCACCAGGGAGGAGGAAGAGGCGGAGGAGGAGGAGGAGGAGGAGGAGGAGGAGGAGGAGGAGGAGGAGGAGGAGGAGAGGGAGGAGGAGGAGAGGAGGAGGAGGAGAAGGCGGAGGAGAAGGAGGAAGAGGGGAGGAGAACAGCTGCCGATCATCGGCGCTATTCGTTCGAGTGCCTGGTGTAGGATGGGCTGGTGGGGATACGCGAAGCGTCAAGAATTTCTAGTTTCCACTGTTACAGTCCTGCTTCCTGCTTCCTCATAATTAACTGTCCTCGCGAGGGATGGGAGGCCCAAACGGGATGTCTTACCACGCCCTGGACAAATTCTCAGAATTCCTGTGGGGGCGTGGGACACGTAAAATTACATGATATTCGCGTCCCCGAGGCCATAATCCTGAGTAATTTACGCCATGTTCGCGTCCCCGAGGCCATCAACCCTCGTGCATTATATAATCTTCGCGTCCCCGAAGCCACAATGCTTTGTAAATTACCCCATGCTTGCGTCCCCGAGGCCACACACCCTCGCATATTACACCGTACTCGCGTCCCCGAAGCCATACACCTTCGTGCATTAAGTAATTGTAGCGCCACCGAAAGCACAAACCAGAGTAACTTACACAATATTCGCGGTCCGGATGCCATACACCCTAGAACATCATACACGATTCGCATATCCGAAGCCATGAACCCTTGCAGCATATATATATATATATATATATACATATATATATACATCAATATAATATTTGCGTCCCCGAGGCCCTATACCTTCACGTCAGCGTCCAGACATCCCATGAACCCCTGCAGCATACATCATATTTGCGTCCCCGAGGCCCTATACCTTCACGTCAGCGTCCAGACATCCCAGAACACAGCTCTGGCAAGCCCCCTTCTCAGAGAGGCGGGGGCCGGCGGCAGGGGGCGACGCCCTCACTGATATGTGATCTCTGGTCGAGGGCCCACGGGCGCCCGCCCCCCTGGATGGGATGAGTCCCAGGGCTCCACGGCTCCCCCCCCCCCCCAGATGGGATGGGATGGGGGACGACGACGACGACGACGACGACGACGACGACGACGACGGCGACGGCGACGACGACGGCGACGACGACGACGACGACGACGGCGGCGGCGACGACGACGACGACGACGACGACGACGACGACGACGACGACGACGGCGGCGGCGGCGACGACGACGACGACGACGACGGCGGCGACGACGACGGCGACGGCGACGACGACGGCGGCGGCGACGACGACCTCCGAAACCCTCCTGGAGCACCGCAGTACCACGCCACACACGCCACACCCACAGCACCACACCACACCCACAGCGGGGTTGGGACCCATCGTGGGGGGGGGGCGGGCCCGATGCCATCAGCATGGGGGGGGGGGCGGGCCCAGACCTGGAGCATATATTTCACAACACGTGCCGTTACACAGCAGGGTCATATGTTTGCCTGAGCAGGCTGCAGTGCTACCACAGTACTGCGACCACAATACAATAGAGTGATGTACGCCTCATGTTGCGACACGTCGATTGCAGCGGCTGCTCTCTATGTGCCAGTTCGGGCAAGATGCTGAGATAACGACCTGCCAACGCTACATTCCCACATCTCGACCAACCGAAACAAATATTGTTGATGGCACGTCTGGGTCCATAATCAAACATTCGCATCGATGGGTAACACGCAGGAGCGATCAAATCCATGCCATGCGATCAGCAACCAACTATACGCATGCATCTATATAACACATGTTCATACGCATCTATAGATATACACACTACATTGTGAGAGCGACGACTGCAAACTCTACGTCAGGATTTCGCGCGCGGGTGACTGAATTAAACTATATGCGCGTGTATTGAATACCGCCCATGCGCCGCGATGCCAAGATAGTTAAATCATCGGTGGGAACGACTGGGATTTCCTGAACAAGCGAATGACTTCTGACATCACCGTCAACAGGACAATCAACGAGGGGATGGGGAACATGATTTTCAGATGCTTGTCCAGTCCAGCACTGGAGAAGGGCATATATATGTATATATGTATATATGTATACATACATGTGTATGTGTGAGTCTAAGCATCTGGTCGGGAACTGTTGCCTAGCGTGCCGTGGCGGCGGCCCCAGCGACGCGGTAAGCCCTGCGGGTCGATTGCGTGTCGCTCTGCTCCGTGGGGCGGGAGGCCGGGAACAGCTGGACACGTTGACGCCTACGTGGGTGACGTGTCTCGCCGATGCGTGCTGGGCCAGAACCGGCGGCGCGACACGCTAAGCCACAGTTCTTGACCGTAGAGAGAGAGAGAGAGAGAGAGAGCGAGAGAAAGGGGGAAAGAGAGAGAGAGAGAGAGCGAGAAAGAGAAAGAGAAAGAGAGACAGAGACAGAGAAAAAGAGACAGAGATAGAGAAAACGAGACATAGATATAGAGAGAGCGAGGGAGAGAACGAGCGAGACACATATGGGAGACAAGGGCGGATTGCGGACAAACAAACAAAAGCGCGGCACATTGTTGTTCAGCAACATGTTGACAAGGGACGACTTGCCGACATTACTTCGGCCCGCAAACACCACCTCCGCGCAATAAAGGGCACGATGAGGCCAACAACAGAACGGCCGGGATCTGCTCAATGACCCAACTTGTGCTCGCTGCCTCTCCCGCTCTTCTGCCCATCGGTTGCTGCTGCTGCTCCAGCCTGCTGCCGATTCATCCCCTCGCACTCTGCCTCTGCTCTGCCTGCTGTTCCTGTCATGTGGCCCCACAGTTAGCTTCACCGAAGGCCCCAGTGGCAGGGTTCGCATGCGGTTCCACCCCTATTTCGGTACCCCCCTCACACGCTTCGTGACCCCATAGGGAGCTCCGCCAAAAAGACCCCAGTAGCAGGGTTCGCAGGCGGTTCCACCCTTACTTTCGGCACACCCCTCACACGTTTCGTGGCCCCGTAGGGAGCCCCCACCGAAGGCCCCGATGACAGGGTTCGCATGCGGTTTCACCCTTACTTTCGGCATACCCCTCACACGTTTCGTGGACCCAGAGAGAGCTCCACCGAAGGCCCTACTGGCAGGGCTAGCAAACGGTGCCACCCCCAACTTCGGCACAACCTTCACACGTTTCGTGGGCCCATGGGGAACTCAACCTGATTCCCCAGTGGCTGGCTTCGCATGCGGTTCAACCTCCATTTCGGCACACCCCTCACATGTTTCGTGGACCCCATAGGGAGCTCCACCGAAGACCCCCAGTAGCAGGGTTCGCAGGCGGTTCCACCTTTACTTTCGGCACACACACACACCTCACACGCTTCGTGGCCCCATAGGGAGCTGCACCGAAGGTCCCAGAGGCAAGGTTAGCATGCGGTTCCACCCCTTTTTCGATCTCTCACGCGCTTCGTGGCCCCATAGGGAGCTCCACCGAAGACGATACTCACAACTACGGCACTCACGACTGCATATGGTTGGGTCCTTCGCCAAGCTAATTGGAATATGTAGCCTGCCGGCCACCTGGAATGACCCCAAACAATGGCCCACAAGGAAAGGAACATCCAGAAAACAGTTTTTAGGGCGGTCTTGGGCGCCTCTTGCGCCGTCTAGGAGTGTTGAAAGTCCAAAGCGGTAAGAAGGCCAAACTCAATATCTATACTTTTGGCCTCTTGGGGCACTCGTCAGGATCCTCTTGGAGCCTTCTTCTTCGGCCGTCTTGGGGGCCCATTGGTCCGTTTGGAAAACTTCTTGGGCCGTCTGAGGTCCCTGGAGGCCGTCGTCGGGTTGGCGCGAGGCCGTCTTGGGCCGCCGGGACGGCTGTCTGATCGCTCTGGGGGCCGATTTGCAGCCCCCTAACAGAGGGCCCGGCCCCGAAACTCCCCGAAAAAGGTGCCCCTCCCCCCGGGACTAAAAAGGGGACCGAGGGGGGGGGGGTCTGGTCCACCGTTATCTGATGTATGAGTTCATGTATGTATGTATGTATGTATGTATGTATGTATGTATGTATGTATGTATGTATGTATGCACGTACGTATGTATGTACGTATATGTGTATAGATGTATGTATGTATGCATACTTGTATGTTTGCCTGTATGTGTGTATGACTGTATGTATGCATGTATGCATGTATGTATGCATGTATGTTTGTAAGTGAATATGTTTGTATGTACGTACGTATGTATGTATGTATGTGTACGGATGTATTGATGTATGGATGTCTGGATGTATGCATGTACGCATGATTGTGTATGTGCAGGTGCTTGTATACATGTGTATGTATGCGTGCATGTATGCATGCATGCGTGTATGTGTGTATGTGTATACGTGCATAGTCGTGCGTACGTTTGTCTTTATGCTTGTTCGTATGTGTATATATGTATGTATGCACGTATGCATATATGTATGTATGTATGCATGCACGCACGCATGTATGTGTGTATGTATGTATGTATGTATGCATGCATGCATGCATGTATGTATGTATGTATGCACAGAGAGAGATAGGGAGAGAGAGAGAGAGAGAGAGAGAGAGAAATGGAGAAACAAGCATGCATACATCCGTCACCGTGCCGCTGGGCACGGAGTGGGCGTGTCCTCAGGTCCTTTGCCCAATCCTCTAAGCCTCAATCCTTATTCCTGAGGGGTCTTCCAATTGCCAAGTTGCCAATCCGCTAAGCCTCAATCCTCTAAACCTCAATCCTCTAAGCCTCAATCCTCACTCCTGAGGCCCAGACCCCAAATTGCCAATTTTTACCGGGCTTGTCCCGTGCCCCCTGGGCTCCAGGGCATCTTGTCGCAGGACTGTTCGGGCCCAAGAGGGCCCCCAGACGGGCCAAGGGGCCCCCAAGAGGCCCCGAAGAGGGCCCAAGAGGGCCCCAGAAGCCTCCAACAGGGCCCCAAGACGGCCCAAGAGAACCCCAAGACGGCCTACGAGTGCCCCAGACGGCCCCAAGAGGGGCCCGAGAGGGGGAACGCGAACCGAACATTTCATCTTCCCGCCCCGAGAAGCTCAGGAGGCCCCCAAGATGCCCCCAAGAGGCCCCAAGAGGCCCGAAGCAGGCCCCTTAAACGTCCCCCCAAAGTCGTCTGAACTGCCTACAGGAGGCCGCTGAGAGGCCCACCACAAGATCCCAACGAACACTCAAGAGGTCTCGGACCCGCAACCCAGGCACGACGGCGGGATGGGCCGAAGGCCATTCTGTACATATCCTCTTCCGCCCCGTCCTCCTCCTCCTCCTCCTCCTCCTCCTCCTCCTCCTCCTCCTCCCTCTCCTTTTCTTGTTTCACGTTCGACTAACATGAAGCGTGAAGCCTGTTTGTGTTCTTGAGTTTGAGCAATTCTCCTCCTCCTCCTCCTCCTCCTCCTCCTCCTCCTCCGCTTCCGCCTCCTCCTCATCCGCTTCCGCCTCCTCCTCCCCCTCCCTCTCCCCTTCCGCCCCCTCCTCCCCCCCTCCCTCCCCCCTCCCTCTCGATGTGGCGCGCGGGTCCCCGCAGGCCTGGCCCAACCCCCCCCCCTCCTAAGCACCCCCCTCGCCCTCCTGCCCGCCCGCGCACGCCCACCCACCCCTCTGCGAGGGGGCGGCCCTCCGAGGCGGCGGCCGCCTCCGGTGGCCCCTCGTTGGGCATCAGCGGAAGCGCCCACACCCTCTTCAGCAGGCTCGTCTTCCTCTGATGAGGGAAAGAGAGAGGGATACAGATATACATACATATATATATAGAGAGAGAGAGAGAGCGAGAGAGGGAGAGAGACAGAGAGAGAGAGAGAATGAGTGGGTATGTAAAACAAAGAGAACGATCTCTAATTGAGGGGAGAGAGAGAGAGAGAGAAGGAGGGACGGAGTGGCGAGAGTGCAGAGGGTGGAGAGAGGGAGGGGGAGAGAGAGTGACTAGAGTGGGTAATGGCATACATGCATACGTACATACATACACACATACGATCACACATACATATACACACACACACGCATGCATACACATATACATACACACATACATACATACACACATGCATACATACATACAAACACAGACACATCCATTCGTACATACATACATACAAACATACAAACATACACACTAACATACAAACATGCATGCATGCATACATGAACGCATGCATACATACACACGCATACAACCATACATGCATACATACATGCATACATACATACGTACGTACGTACATACATACATTCATATAAATACATATATATATGTATATACGTACGTACGTCCATACATACATACATGCACACATACTAACATACAACCATATACATATCCATACATACACATATACACGTACATACATACATACATACATACATACATACATACATACATACATACATACATACATACACACATACACACATACATACATGCATACGTACATACGTACGTACACACATACATGCATGCATGCATGCATACATGAATCCATACATACATGTTTATATACACATAGATACATGCATACATACATACATACATACATGCATACATACATACATACATACATACATACATACATACATCCATACATCCATACATCCATACACCGATACACCCATACACACATACACACACATACATACATACGTACATACATGCACACACACATACATACATACATACATACATACATACACACATACATACATACATACATACATACATACATACATACATGCATACCTGCATATATACATACGCACACATACATACATACATACTAGAACCATCGCGCGCGCTTCGCGCGCGCTCAGGTTCTAGCCCAGGCCGGGGGGGCGCTGGACGATCTTGGACAACGCTATCAAGCACAGGCGCGCGACGGCATCTGAGGAGCTTCTGGGTTGCTCCGCATGCTTCGTCAACTGGCTGTTGGAGGCACCTCTTGGGTGCCTCTTGGGGGGGCGTCTGAGGGTCCCTTGGGGGCATCGGTTCTGCAATCTGAAGCCGTCATTGGCCGTCTTGGCTGCGTGGAGGCCCGACTTGAGGCCACCTGCGGCCAGATTGAGGCAATCCGGAAGCCTCCCAGGGGCCTCCTGGAAGCAGGTTTGATGCATTTGGGGCACTCTTGGGCTATTTTAAAACCTCTTGTACGTCTCCCAGGGGCCTTTTGGGCCCTCGGGGAGCTTTTGGGGTCCTCGTCGGACCGATTTGGGGCCTCTTGCAGCCTCCTGTGGGCCTTGTGGGGGGACCGCTCTGCTGTTGGGTCGCGTTCCCCTTCTCGGGCCTCTCTTGGGGCTCTTGGGGCCCTCTCGGGCCGTCTTGGGCGCCTCTAGCACCGTCTTGGGGCCCTCGCGGGCCGTCTTGGGGCCCTCTTGGAGGCCTCTTCCTCTATGTGGGAGCGGTATTGGAAGCTTTTGGGGCCGTCTTGGAGCATCGGGATGCCAAAAGGCCAGAAAAAAAAACGTCAAAGCCCAATCGTAAAACAGTGAGTTGTGCCTCTTGGGGCCACCTTGGGAGATCTCTTGGAGCCTCGTCGGCCCTCTTGGGAGATTCTTGGGGGCCTCTTGGATCCGATTGGGGTCCTCCTGGGACTTCCCGAGAACCTCTCGGGGTAGAAAGCTCGGATTCTCGGTTCATGTTTCCCTTCTTGGGCCTCTCTTGGGGCCGTCTTGGGCGCCTCAGGCACCGCCTTGGGGCCCTCGTGGGCCGCCCAGGGCCCTCTTGGAAGCCTCTTCGGCTATCTTGGAGCTGTCTGGGAGGCCTCTTCCTCCTCCTCGTCCCCCTCCTCCTCCTCCCACTCCACTTCTCTCTCTCCTCCTGATCTTCCTCCTCCTGCAGCGTGTTCCGGAAGGCTCCCGCCGGAACATGCTGTGCACAAGTGCTGTCACTGCTCCCGCCACCGTGCCCTGGGTGGTGGGTCAGAGGCCTCATGGGTGTTGGTTTGGATCTCGTGGTTGGCCTGTCGGGGACGTCGTGAAGGCAGTTTCGCAGCTTCTCGGTAGCCGTTTTGGGGCCTCCTCGGGCTGCTTTGTGGCCTCTTTAGGCCTCGTTTGGGCCTCCTGGGTGCCTCTTGGGGGCCTCCTGGGGCCTCTTGGGGGCTCCTTGGGGCCTCCTGGGACACTCTTCAAGCGGGAGTGTCGAATTTGGGAGTCGTGGTCACCCTCTTCTTTTTTTAACGCGCGCCGAGCATGCGAACGCACGCAAGGTGGAGACGCCATTTACGCTCCAATGACAAATGGGCGCGCCAAGTGCATGCCAGCAGACCGATAATGGAGCAAGGTGACCTCATAATGACGAGAGCGAGAGCGATATATATATATATATATATATTATATATATATATATATATATGTATATATATATAGGTGTGTGTGTGTGTAAAAATCAATGCGTTTTCCTGTGAAAATGGTTCGACCTTTTCGCATGGACGGCAGTGCCGATCAGGGTGGACGATTTTGCCCACCGCCACCAGCCCTCACCTCGTGATGCGCAGGGACACTATATCCTGCTCGGGCCACCACTTACTCCGATAGTCTTTGACAGAGTTGGGATCATATACCTACGAAGACACTGCACCCCCAAGCTAGCTGGCTGCAGTTTCGTGTCGGCGAAAAGCTTTGATTTTGATACTGGGCTAACTGACCGCGGACGCTTTTCCATCAATGAGAGCGTTCATTTGGTCTTGGGACGGATTGCTGATGCCATCTGTGTACAAAGTCATAACAGAATGCTGCTAACTAAATGTGTCCAGGCTGATTCCGAATTCTCACTCTGCACATATCCGCCACATGTCCTCCGCACCATTGTGATACCCTCAATGGTTGCGTTCCAGAACAGCATGGGATCCTTCTCCTCGCCTGTTGTGCAATGTGGGCACTTGGATGGCCACCAACCATTGTTTTCAGTGTAGTCATTGAAGGCGCCAACAACGAGCTGCTTTGGACAGGTTTGGGCGACAATAGGGAATAGGGATCGGTACCAATCCAGGTCCCGGGCTGCATAGGCAAAGTACTGCGGCGACTGCCCATTTTTCTCAAACTTAGCAAAGGCTGGTGAAACATACATGACCTCCTTGTCGGGCTGTATGGTGACGTCTATCCCTGGAGTGTCGCTGCAAGCTTTGTCCGGCGAGTGAGGAGGTGCACACGATCGGTCAATCATCCAGCCATAAGCCCCGGGCCTCCAGTTCTCGTTTCCGTCTGCATAGCCTATGTGAAAGCGATGGCCCACACTCTCAGGATTTTGCTGCATCCACTGGTTCCAAAGAGGTTCAAAACCCTGCTCCACATACAACACCACCAATGGCTTGCCGCTGGGACCGCGGTAAGCAGCCGCTGCCAACTCAGCAGCTCCGATCTGGGTGGGACCTTCGTTGCCATCAAAAGCATGCACCTCCTGGTCACTCGCATTCAGAAACATTGACCATACTTGCTGAAGCTGCACCTCCATTACTGGCAAGGTTGCTGGATCTGAGAAGGGTCCCAAGGGATTGACACCTACAGCTAATGCATAGTAGATCTTACCACTGGTGCGCTCAGCATTGTACCGTGCACATAAAGCAGCCAAGGCCTTGGTGGCTGCAATAGTGTTGCCAAAGTCAGAACCCAGTCCATTTGTGTTGTCTGAAATGTAGAAAGAGATGCCAGCAGCGGTCAATTTGTCAAACATGAATCTTGCTTGGTACATGTCAGCACTGTCGTATTCACCATACTCTCCGTTCGCCAGCAGTGGCTTGTATTGCAGGTGCCACGCCTGCCACAAGTTCGCATTTACAGATTTGAGCGCTGGTGCATCTTTCTGAAACCCTGCTGCATCAAAGTATGGAGGCTTTGCACTCGATGAGCCTGGAAGGATACAACATCGTGGAGTATTCTCTTCAGGCTGAGTGGTGGCGTTGCAGGCCAATGGATAAAGCGTGCCTGTGCCCAAGGGATCTGCCAGATAAAACGAAGCGTAGCTGCGGTACCAGCCGCGCTGGCCGGGCGCCCAGCCTATCGATGACGCTGCTTTGGCCCCTCCCATCTGCCCCCCGTGCGAGAACTTCCAAATCTCGATGAGAGCAGATGATTGGAGCAGGTCTGCTGAGTACCAAGTCCCACTCACAGCATTTGCACAAACCACCTTGGCTGCACTTGATGGTAGCATGATCATAATCGTATCTGGGCTACAGTCCGCGCCTCGTGCTGCAGTGAAGTTACGCAGGGCTGGCTTGAAGGGTAGCAGCTTGCCATCACTACCCTGCGCAGCTACAAAAAAGTTGCCATCAGAATCCATCAGGACGGCCAACAAGCTACCCTCGGCTGTGCCTGCCTTGACCCATCGCTGTACCACAGCTACAGACGTTGGCCTTGTGAGGTGTTGCAGTGTTGATGATTTTGTTTGCATGTTGTATTGCCCCCAGCTCGTTGTGCCATCAGCTCCCTCACTGATGCACCAGATTGCACCAACCGAGACGGCACCTTTTTGGCTCGTTGACGTTGCCTCGCCACACCCCATAACAGAGCCATCAACATGAATCGCACTGCTGAAGCCAGCACCCGTTGAGAACGCAATGCTCCAAAAGCTGCCATTGAAGACAGCGGCATCGGCCTTGCCGTCTCCATTCAGATCCGAGATGAATCGCTCTGATGAGGCCAGTGCTCCGTCATGCCACCATGTTGAGTTCTGCTCCCACGCGTTGACTCCATTAGATAGGGAAACTCGCCAACCATCAC